TTGTTTAACCAAATTGACATTTCAAACAACAAATAATCCGAGCAAAAATATTCAATTTCTTTCTACAGCATAAAGTCCAAAACAGTTATACTCTCTCTGACATATTCACAGTATCCTTGATCTATGACTTAAGCGAGCTTGCTGAAAACTGCACCTCTCTTCGTGAGACATCCTGAACAATCTTTAACCTCTGCACTTGTACAGAGTTATCCAACTCAACTGATACGGGTTCACCGTTTGACTCGTCCAGTCGTACATTGTAAAGATTTTTGTTCTTCCCTGTAGGTTTCCCGGCTCTACCCATCACCAAGGCATTATTCCAATCATCACTCTCCGAGGATCTGAACCTGATAATGTCATTCTTCTTTACACCCACGCCTGTTCTGGTTTGACACACACTTTCCCAATCCGACTGATTTACTGACAGATCTGACAGATTCACACTCCCTGAAACTGAACTTACAGTTCCATGGTCATCTGGCTCAATTTCTGTCTCAATTTCTGGCTCACTTTCTGGCTCACTGTCTTGATCCACATTACCTGAAACTGAGCTCACAACTCCATGGTCCTCTAGCTCACTTGCTAGATCACTGTCTTGATTCACGTTCCCTGAAACTGAACTCACAGTTCCATGATCCTCTGGCTCTCCTTCTAGATCACTTTCTGACTCCCTGTAGATTGCACAATCTCAAGGTCACCTCCACTGAATGTTTCTAACTCCTCCTCTTGATCACTTTCATCGTCACTTAGTGACCATGGCGATGTAATCTTCTCCTCTAAAACAGGACGGACCTTAATTTCTGTTGCATGATTAGTTCTTCCAGAATCTGTTTGGCTGATAGAACTTTCACATCGTCCTATGGGTATCATCATGTGTCCTGACTTAGTGATCATTAGATTCTCTTCTCCTCCGAAAGCATAAACTTTGTCAGTTTCAGTATCGATCTTCATCTTCATCTTTTTCATGGACTCTCTAGACAGTAACAAAGGAATATCATTTTCCACAATAAACACGTTTAAAGTTACTTTCTGACCACATATTGTTACTGGGAGTGCTTTTTGTATCCTGGCTGTAACTGCATCTCCATCCCCGAAACAAAAATTCTTCTCACAAGGAGTCACTTTGACCTCTTCATGTTCAGCTGATGTCAGAGATTCCTCGAAGGCTGTCAGCCATTTCTTCCCACACACTGTGGAACTAGCACCTGTATCTAAAAGTGCTCTATTTGTCGATTCTCCCATCAGACACTTGTCTTCGTCTTTTAGTTTAAAGTCAGACTCAAAGAATGTAAGCTTCTTCTCTCCAAATGTGTTGTACTTACAGTCTCTCATCAAATGGTCTGTTTCCTTACAAATATGACAACGTAAGGGTCCTGATTGTTGGGCTTGTGCTCCTTGTCTGGATCTAAATGGAGTTTGTTGATACACGTTTCCTGAACTCTGTCCTTGAAACGCAGGTCTTTGTCCGAAGGGTCTTTGTCCGAAAGGTCTCTTAGATGGATATAAATCCCTGTGCTGGTGGTATCTTTGTTGATAAAAAACTTTCTGAGGGTCTTCCTCCTGGTTGCTCTGGTCATCACCAAAATGTTCTGAATTGTTGATGTCGTACTGTTGAAAATAAGTATTTACAGGCTCTTCTTTAATCTTTGGTTTTCCGATGGAATATGTTTCACCGCTTGCGCCGCTTGCGCTTGATGAAGAAGAAGATGTATTAGTATAATCTTCTCCGTATGCTCTCTTAAGCTGGGATTCCATATTCTCGTAGCTTAACTTAGAGACCGTTGCCCTGATTAACGTCTTTTGATGGTCCGAGAGATTAGCAGTCACTTATATCTTATATTTTATATTTTGTATCTCTTACTACGTAACGCGAAATTAAGTTGTATCACACTCCCGGTTTTGGACCCCAATGTTAACCTTGCAGCAACTGTGTCAGCCCAATATACTCTAGAAGTATGATCACACTTATTTTAATGAACAAAAGACCCATAATTAATATAATCAGATACTCGTCAACAGCAGCAGTTTCCGTCCGTGTGATGTGTTGTCCTTCTCCTTTCTGTGTCCCCGTCGTTTTGTTTTGTGCAATGTATTGTAGTAGTGTTTTAATATTTAAATCGAACGTAATTCAATAGTTAATAATAACAAACACAAATACAAATACTATTTCATATTTTAAATAATTGATTAATATCGATTTATACGAACCAAACATTAATTATTCTTTAATAACCTTTTATATACAATATATGTGTTAAACGATCCAGGGCATATCTAAAATTCGATAATGAACTTCATATATTATTATTGCCGCGTGCTGATAAATATTTTGGGAATCAATCCACCCAATCGTGGCGATAACATATTTTTTGTGCTTGGCCGGTTTTAGGTTTGAGTTTGTGCTCCAAAAGTGGTAAATCGGGTGCTAGTAAAGCTCTTGCAGGCAACTGGCTCCTTTTGCCAACTGCTTTTGGTTTAAGCGCTGACTCACATTTGGAACTGGCACTGGTATAATTGTAATATCCTACGAAGTCAGCATGCTATATTATTTTGCAAAACTCGTTTTATAATATCTTGACAATATTTAAAGTTTATGGTTTTAGGTTTAGGCGCGGCGCACCGCTTATATGTTATAGCTCATTTAGCTTCTGTTTTCAGCGATGTGTTGCTACACACTGTATAGCATGTGGGTCAAGCGCGGTGCCGCGCCTAAGCAGCAAAAGAATTATTTATTTTAAAATTTATTTTTGTATCTCAAAAAATGATGTAAAGTTTTTAATATGACGTAGAATTAAAGCTATTTCCGTACAGCCTAAGTGCTAAGCATGCTCGTTAGGAAAAACTATGAACAATGAACATAACATGCTAGCTTTCTTTATTTCTTTATTTTTGTAAGTCGCGTCGGCTGACATCTTGGGTTGTACTGGATGTAACAAGTTTATTATCGGATGTCTACTTATATTTATTATGATATCATTATTCATTGTAATGGCAATAAAATTTAAATTTTTTTTTTTTTTTTTTACTTATTTAATTAAGCTTAAACCGTGCCAAGCTGTGAAGGTACTTTGACATCGTCAATAAAATTCACTAGGTGTGTGTGTTTTATACAACGTATTTTAATATTACCCTTATTAATTTGATTTCTGTAGGCCCGGCTGTAACATGGCCTCAGGCCTGGAATGTTACTTTTCGCTCAGGTCGAGAAAAGGTTCGGTAAAAAGAACAATAGCAAGTAGATAAGGGGGGGACAGAGGGCCCAAGTTGCGATATAAACCAGACAATATTGAAGATTTAGATTTAAATATTGAGCCCTTTGGCTAGAGAATACTTTCTTGAATATTTTCGATAGTTTTTAATATTGGTAATGTTAATGAATTGTAATTGATTGATATGTAATATTTAGGCCCGTGGCCGGTTTTCAAAAAAGTAGACAATGTTATCAGTCAGAAACAATGCAGTGGTACATCCAAAAATATTTCCAAAATGCAACGTTGCACAACTGCGGGTCAGTCTATTATATTGTTATTGTTATTATATTAACAATTTTTTTTTTATTATAATAACAATGGACCATGTGGATATATTTGATAATGTCGAATGTTTGAGCAGAAGGCATGTTATGGCCTGGGTATTAAGGACTGCTTATATTTTTATTTACTTGTTTTCACTTCGGCACATTTAGGCAGTTGCTCTTGTGACCAAAGTTTTAGATCCTGGGTTCGAATTTTTTAATTTTTTATTAATCTTAAGAGTTAGCTCAAGATTTCTTTGGATCTATGCAAAATTAATATACCCTCGGTTGACTCAGCCGAATGATCAAGAAACCGTGGCTGAGGGTTAAATTTGGAGGGGCCCTACCAAAAGATCAAGCATCCTGGTCTCACAGGGTCTGTGTTACCCTTGGCCTTGTGCCACTCATTGGGACACAGGTAATCAAAATCATACTTAAAGGGATGCTGTGCAGTGGTATATGCAGAGAGGCTCACCAGCGTGAAAAACTTCAACATCAAGTTGCCTTTTTAGATGAATAACAACCAATTGTGGATAGTCCTTAATTAAATTTGAGAAATATTCTTAAATAAGTATTACGAATGATTGCTTTTTTTGACGATATTTTGTAGACATGTGTGATGATGTGATGTCATAAATTTTACTTAACTTTACTTTACTTTATTTCACTTTAAATGTAACTCGAATTTGAGTGTACTGTTAACTATATTAATTGATGATTTATATATATATTCCAAAGTTCATCCAAATCTGCAGTGAATGTGTGAATAATGATGACCTCAAGCTAAGAAGGAAGATCTGTATTTCTACAGGGCCCACCCACGCCTAGCTGGGAAGTCTAGTCCCTACATTAGACGGCCAATGCTCTATCCATTGGTATGTACGCGGCCTTACCCAGGCCTGTAATAAATGGGGAGTCCCTCTTAGGACGACCAGTGCTAGACACTGTTTACTACTGACTAGATGGAAACCTACTTTACTCTTTGGATTGGTAGAACCTGTCTGGTTACATGAACATTGGAGCTAGTTTTATATTAACTCATGTATGATATTATTGTCGACTTAGACTGCTTGGATGTATCACATCTCAACCATTGTTGGGTGTGTTACTTTGTTTTTGGGCTTCACTTTTAAGCTTTATTGATTTTATCTATAAAATTGCATCTCCATTGATATTTATGTAACTCGAAAAACTTTTTCTACTAAAAACGTTTTCGATCGGGAATCGTCTTTAAATTACTTTGGGGAATATTTTGACTTGATATAACGACGTCGTCGTAATGACACAAGTGACTGATCAACCACTTTATTTGATAGTGTTTTTAAAAATAAAGTATTTATATTTTTAACTTGGGGTGTAAATATTTTAAGGGTTTTTATTTTTTAAATTTCAGATCTTTCATTCTATTTGTTACTAAAATGCTCATTGTAGCCTATAATATTTAGATTTTCATCATCATCAATATTCTGTATTAAACCTGTCATTGTTTAAGTTCTGAAAATGGAGATGGCACAACCAATGATGTTCCTATTACTGTTACAATAACTGCACTTGGATCTTAGCATCAACAAACCCTAATTTAAGCTTGATAGTATGATCCCAACCTTGTGTACATTGGCTGAGAACACCCTTATCAGAGACCTTTTATTTTCATCAAATGTCAGCCCTCTCCTCTACCACTGCATCCCATCAACAGATCATCTTAACTTTGAAACTCAATTCATATACGATGACAAAGTTTTCAATGTTGATGAAACCATCTGCATACCTTATTCTATATCTCAAAAGGTAAGTCTATATTTTGGTCTAGTTACATTATAGAACATTATCATAATATGACTAATTGTGCAAATGTATTATATTATACAGGTGCAAAATTTGTGGCACTTCAATATTGTAGTTTTTGAATTAGACTTTATTATCAGTTGTTTTTTTTCAAAAATATACTGGGTTTCAGTGATTAAATAACATTTTCATTCATCAGTATTTTGTTGCAGGTCATAAGCATTCTCTGCCAGTTTTGTCCCAAATGGTCTCCAGAATGGGCTTTTCTCCTTCTTGTTAACAGTGAAATTACTGAGCTATCCCTCTGCAATCTTACAGACATCCCATTAGTGCAGCTATCTTCTCTATTGTACAAGATTTTTGCAAGGTCCTTTTTGTCTTGATTATTTGTGAACAACCGAAAGATTATTTATCCCAATTGTACATCATGACAAACAATTTAACTTGGCATTAAAAAGACCTAAACGAACAATAATAACCTGAACAGTTGTTGATTACATTATTGATTGTCAGCTATTTTGTTCTCAGTATGGAAAATGGTTTGATAGCGTATTTTAAAAACCTACATTAATTATGTTTTTAATAATTATCATAGTACTAATTTCAATTCAGGTGCCAGAAAATAACAAAATTGAACTTTGAAATGGTTGAGATGACACCTGGATTCTTCTTCCAGTGCATACTTCCTCGAGCTGAACAATACACATCTGTGTCCCTATCTGCTTGCAAGACTGTTAAAAATGACAATGTCACGGTAATTAAGCCTGCAGTTTGTATTTCAATAAGCGCATTTATTGCTCCAAGTTCAACTTTTATAATAGTACATCACTCATTCTATCTAATATTGTGATAGTTAATTATCGTAAATGACACCACCTTCAGATGTTGTTGAAAAACTGTCCTAATCTTGTGGATCTCAACCTGTCTTTGTGTACGATATCTGATGAGGCATTCTCTAACGTTCACCTTCCAAGAATTCAGTGTTGTGATTGTGGTAACAGAAGACCCAAACTTCTCAAATTGTCAGGTCGTTATTTCAATCGTTTAAGTAACAACTATTTGAATTTAACATTGACCATGTCAGTCTTATTAGCAGATATATCATGTTAAATGAATGCTTGCTTGAAATCTTAAAACTGTTTAGTTCTGTCTTGACTATGAATATATTAGATTATTGTTACGTAACATAATCTTGCTCTAATCAGTTTTAAATATTGCTGGATGCGTTAAGTTAACTACAAAAACAATCAGACGAGTGGTTGAACTTTGTGGACCTTCATTACGTTGCCTCTATTTAAATCAGTGCACTAATATCTACACGACTGCACTTTGGTACTTGTGTGGATTATTTAAAGGTAGGCTTATAACAATTATTCTTCAAAATTGTGTGCTTTTAAAATATCTAAAATAGTGTGTTTACTAAAGATGTTTATCTTTTATTTTTAATCAGCTGTTTAAGTAAGGATGTACATTTCAGGAAAAGAAGAATTCTTTCGAAATAATTTTGTGTTGGAAACGCCATTATCTTGTTGCTGTGATAGAGATATGCATGGAAAGAGCATTGGTTCTTGTAAGGAATCCAGTTCTGGAACGGATCATGATAAGGAAATTACAGACGAAAGCCTAGAAGCTTCTGTTGAAGTAATTTTAAGAGACACTACGTTACTAGATTCAGTTGCAAAACTATCAGTGGAGGAATCAACGGTGTCTGATGAATTGCCCTTGTCTTTGACTGTTGAAGTTCTTGATAACTTACCAGAGGGTCCTTGTTCATCATCAGACAACCAAATTCCAGACTCAATCATAATTCAAGTTTCTGAGGACTGTGCGACTACAAATCCAGAAAATACCAATTCTGTTGAGTACACAGAAGAACAACACACCAGAGAGCAGCAATCTGAAAACATTGAGGAAATATTTCGTAGTACTCTTAAGATGGTCGAAGAGCAATGCGAGTTTTTAGAAGCGTTTCTGCGTCACACCACCGACGAGGGTGTTGTCACTGAACAGCCTTCATCTTCAAATAATGGGTCAGAGTTTGTGGTTGAAACCTTAGATGGTTTGGCCAGTTCTTCCCAGCATTCATATCAAGAGTACACAGATAGCTTATTCATGCATTTGGACTCTATCAATAAAGATGCAGAGGCTTCAAGAGCAAGCCTCATTAAGATAATTGAGCAAAGTTATGATGATGTGGATGTTACTCGACATGTTTCGTATCAAGTTGCTGCTAAATCAGTTATTGTCTCTGCGAGACAGATACTTTTGATTCTTGATCAGATTGTAAGTTTGGGACGTGCTCAGGATCAAGTTCTGAATAGTAACTTATGCCTGAAGGATACCCATGAATCAGTTGGAGAATTGTTGGTTATGATCCCCCATTTCAGAGACAGGTTAGTTCACTATGTGTACATTATAAGTCAAGTTCAACGAGAAATTAAACGGAATGAACTTCTAAGACTGAGACTGCTTCATTCTCTGGAACTGGAAGCGATCCAAAGGGAGGAACTAACAAAGATAAGAAATCTAAACGAGCAGTTGTCTTCATTACAGGAGCAACACGAGGCCGTCTTCGGACGAATGAATCGTATTATTACTGGTCTCCGTCAGGAAGACGAGGGTGTTCATCAGGACCCAATTAATCATCACATTGAAAATATCAATGGGAATGTAATTGAAGACCCTCAAAATGATTCGTCTGGAGATGAAATAACGGATGATGAAGTGTACGATGAAAACAGCCCGGAACTGGTGAGTCTACTGAAATCAGAAGCTAAACTCTTGCTCCAGCACGCTAAGTACTCTCACTGTCCTAGTTGCTGTCCTAACGCTTATAACCCTCAACTCGAACTGCTGGACATCACTGATATCAACTATCAGTCGGAAGAGCTGGCCATACTGACCTTGAAGGGGTTTCTCACTGTCAACAAGGGACTTAAATCACTCAACTTGTCCTGGAGTTGTATTGATAACTCAATGGTGAGTTGATCTGCGAGCATGGCAGTGCACTGCAAAAGCATTGAATCTAACTTTGCAATATTTTGTATTAACTGTTCAAATACTGATGATACGTAGAAACGTATTCTAATGTTGTAGAAGTTTCTATATGTTATATATAACAACAAATTGTTATAATATATATAACAATTTGTTGTTCAATGTGATGACTGATGTATTCACCTCAACCCGTCCCCAGATGGAGTTTGTAGCAGCATCGTGTCCCGAACTAACGTGTCTGAATGTCCAGCAGTGTACTCAACTCTCTACTCCATTTCTCGAACACTTCAGTAACCACCAACTCATGTCAGTTGCTCCTAATTCTTGGCGTTATTGCAGTTTATGTGCTGAGTCTACATTGTACAATAATGCGTAAACCGTGATTATTTTCACTGTATAGTTGACAAGCAGAAATTGTTCTAAATAACAATTAAAAGAACGAAACTTTTTAAGCTTGTGCTATCGAACACTGCCAATGTATGATTTTTATGTTTATTCAAATACACTGCATCTAGGTAATGTAGCTACGCACGGTTAAGGCACGGTTAAGGCACGGTTAAGGCACAAACTGCCCATAAGCAACCATTATGGTCACTTAAGGCACGGTTGGGGAAATATAACCTATAAACATACAAGTGGTTAACTAAAGCACATGATCTGAATGTGACGATCTGTAAATTTTACAGTGCGATTCCCGCTATGAATAAATATTCTAAAGCAACAGCCCTGCTTCGTGTGACCGTCCTATATTTGTAATCCTTATTTCGATTAACGATCTCTTCAGGTAACCAGGCGGGAACCAGGCTCTTCAAATTAAGTTAACATCTCCTAAGCAAGAATCCCGATATTCATGCTAAATAATAATGTACTCACTAGACTCACTACTCACTATTTTCTTCGAGTTCACATCTTCGAGTTCACATCTGCACACCTGTTTTGGCCTGAAAAGGGTTGTCATGCGTTCAAAGTTATCTTTTAAAGCACTCCTTACACTGTTCGACTCTCTCATCAAGCCCATTTTATTATATGGTGCTCCAATATGGACACCCACTAGTACGATCAACAAATCTCTCTGCAAAACGATTAACTCGACAGAAGCAACCGCTACTAACTTACTTAAAAAAATCAGCGCCTCTCTGCAAGAAAGAGTGCATATTTCATTCCTAAAATGGGCACTGGGAGTCCATCGTAAAGCATCAAATGTAGGTGTATGGGGAGAAACAGGGAGAATTCCTCTGATTTATCAATCAATTCGCTTAACATTAAATTACTTTAAAAGGCTAAATACAAAATCAAAGTCGAATTCGTTTGTTACTGCAGCCGTAAAAGAACAAAAATCACTAAACTTACCTTGGTATCGATACATAAAACCACTCCTTGAACTAGATGAAATTTACAAACTAGATCACGTAACCGCGCACCGAATTCTCAATACAAATGCAGCCAACAAAGCCAAGCCCAACCCTGTAAGTGATCACAAATTTTTAAAAGACTCCCTCAAAAATCAGTCAAATTTCAGTCAATGTATCAAACCACTATGCAGCAAAAAGTATAGAATTCCTAACATCATCGAAGCTCTAACCAATCAATTCAAAAAATGTTGGGAATATCAGAAATCTACTTCTTCTAAACTCTCATTCTATCACTCAATCAAACACACCTTTAAACGAGAGCCCTACTTACACTTATGCAAAGGCTTCTCTCGTCGTTATAGCACCACAAAACTTAGAATCAGCGCCCATGATCTCCATATTGAAAAAGGCAGATACTCCAACACACCCCGTGAGCAAAGACTATGTGCGTGGTGCCAATCAAGTATGGGCGTTGAGACAATCGAAGACGAGTCACATGTTCTTTACATATGTGACTTGTATTCAAAACAGAGGTCGAAATTAGTCAAAAATCTCTCTCAAATGCCACTCATTGACATAAGCACTGAAATCACCGACTCAAGCAATATCAATGAAACAAATCTCAAAGTCCATCTTATGGAAATTTTGTCTCCTAACTCAACTGTAATTCCTCAAAATCACCAGAGCCTCCATATTCACTGCCACCGTTCACTTAATATTCAACCAAACACCCCACAGTATATTCAATTTCAAGAAAGGCGCTCCTATGCTGTCAATTGTGTGTGCACTTATTTCCTTCGCTGCTCCGAAGAGCGAAATAGCTTCACCGAAGATATGCGTCAACGGAATTCAAATGCACGAAACTTAAACAATTTTACTATCAATTTGGTGAGAACCTCGCGAATTAGTCGTAATTAAGATTTAAGGATAACCCAGGCCCTGACTTCAAGGAAAGATGAATGTTTTCATTAATCTCTGTACAATTATGACGGTCCATGATAATGGATCTATAATTTAATTTTAATCCTGTGTAATCCTGTGTAATCCCTGTTTATTTGAGCGAGGTGATCTGCACAACCTACTTCGCAGTCATGTACCAGTAGCTCAGATCACATCACCCAACCTTGCTGGCTTGGTGCGTGCTGACACCACGGCCACCCGCACACCGATCAATACATGCGAACTTTTTATCTCGTTGATCAGCTGACATGGATCATATCCCGAAATAAACAAGCTCTGTCACTCTATTACAGTTGTATATAAACGCAGCTTTATTCAACACAATCATCCCATCTTTTCATTCAACATACTCTTAAAAATACTACTACTTTACTCATCATGGTAACTCGAAGAGGAACTCGATACTCTGCTGCCCCCACACCTAAATGCCTTCACTGTGGCGCTAGTGGCCACATTGCCACCATATGCCCTAGGACTACCTACACTTCTGCCCCTCCTTCCCTGACCTGTAACCACTGTATCCGAACTTGCAGAAGTGGATGGAGCGACGAGCCAGAGGGTCATCAGATGATCGTTATAATCGATCCCTGTCAGACACACGCTACTCCTGTAGTCAGACCGACAAGATCAAATCCTGCACCTACAACTTCTCGTACCACCGCTGTTCGTCCTAGCAGCGTCCTAGCACTACAGTACTGCCTCGATGTTGAACTTCTACGACCTCACCAATTCTGTGAAGATTGTCAGACCTACATGGAGCTGAAGTCCTGTTCCCCTGCCATGTTTCGAGATGGATTCTATTGGTCCTGTGCTGGAGCTGTGCACACCCTCTCCATCAGAGCTGCAAGTATTATCTCTAATCGGAGTATCTCCTTATCCTCTTTTCTACATCTATTGTGGTTATTCTGCAACGGTACAAGTGTGGCAGACGCTGCTAGGATCCTGTCGATGAATGAGAAAACTGTGCGATCCCTCTACTAGTCCCTCCGCAACGACGCTTCAGTAAGACGGTGTTACAACCAAGATATACCTCGACTTATAAGCATTATATTTGGCTGAAATGTGGATTTATACGATAATATTTAATGTGGTTATGTAAATTGTAATCATCGATAACCACTATTATGCAATTTACTATCAGTTCGATATAATTTACTTCGTTTTTGAATCTCAATAATTGTGCATTAATTTATATCGTTACCAATTTCAAATACTGACACAGCCTAACCCGCAACGCAGTGATTTCAATTGTAGGTGGTAACTGCAGTTTCAGTTAAATAGATAAATTTGAGAAAAAATTAATTAATGATTCAACTTTTTTATTGAGATCGTCCCTCCAAGCAGACATCTCATTTTAAGGATCGTAACTTGATACAGAGATCCATTTGAGAGACTGTAACCTGAAGTGAAAATCTCACAAGTCAGAAATTATATCTCGGGGTTACCCTGTTTTAAATTTAGCTGTACTCTAACCGTGCTTTAACCGTGTCTTAGTTAACCACTTGTATGTTTATAGGTTATATTTCCCCAACCGTGTGTTAACTGTGGCTTAAGCGACCATAATGGTTGCTTATGGGTAGTTTGTGCCTTAATTGACTGTGCCTTTACCGTGCCTTAACCGACAACCGTGCGTAGCTACATTACCGAATTGCCCAAATACATTTATAAGTACTCAATAACAATACACGACTTAATCCGATATAAGTACGATAATGGATATTTTCAGCTCGCTGGACACCCTGGGTGTGTCTTGGTTACATGACTCTGACATACTCTCTCTTCTGAATCCAGCTGGGTTCAAGTTCAACCTCTCCTACCTTAACCTTGCTGAGTCCAACATTACTGATATCAGCCTCTTTCACCTTGCTAGATCAACTCAGGTAACCCACTAACCCGGTATAGTATGATCCATTGCAATTGGTTCGTTCCATAAGTACGACGTACTGCGTACGTACTTCTGGTTATTGGTCATTTACGATTTGTCTACTCGAAAATGGAAGTTGAAATTAATTACGAGGAGTGATAGTTTGTGATTTCATATTAATCAGTCAGTAAATTCCGAGGAATCACCTAGTTAACCCTAGAGTTGATAAATATTTGTAATTCAATCTCTCATCTCCATCATCTGCCTCTTTCAATATTGAGAAGATTTGAAAATTTGTAATATTCGCAGAACAGCCAGTAATTAATCAGAATCAGAACTCAAAACTACTCAAAACCAATTTTGTGACGAATAGATAAGGAGCATCACCTACTATATATACCCCTTAAGCTACATAAAACCGGACCAATCCAATCTTAATGCCAAATTAAATTTTGTCGCGAAACTCTGACCCTCACATTTCTGAACTTTAACCTTGAGTCTGGAAGCGCTAATTGCATATTTCAGTTGAAGAGTCTCAATCTAAGTTGGTGTGATGAGGTGACCGATGTGGGATTGTCCCGAGTGATAACCAGTAATTCCTCTTCGTTGCAGACACTCATGAGTAAGTTTTAGTCATTTATTAGTTAAACTAGTTTAATTGTTTTTTGTATCACGCTTGTCAGTTGTCTTGTCCCATAATCATGTTGTTATGTTAGATTTTGTTTGATTGTTGCCGAATTTTTAAGATTGAAAGTTTGAACTTTGAAACTTAAGCGTTATTAATTTTTGCAGTAAGACAGTGTGGAATTGGTGTTGGCACCTTGAAGGCTATCGCAAAATGTTCTAACCTGGTCCAACTTGACATTTCAACTAACGTGGAGATATCAGGTAGTAAATATAGGTGATAAATTAGATATATATCCAAGCATTTTGTTATTTTATCACTGATGTCGTGAAATACAGTACATTGAATATAATACAGTACATCGATTTAATTCGAATATACAGTACATTGAATAATGAATATACATTGAATATACCATTATTATATGTATGAAATCTACCATTTAGTCTCACTTTTATTATCCTACTTTTTTTGAACATCCCAACATATAAATGTAAACCCTCTCCTTTTCAGATGAGGTATGGACTCCACTAGCAGTAGGATTACCTCGCCTCCAAGAACTGGATGCCAGCTGGGTCTTTGGAATGAGAGACACTAAGCTAGCCCTGCTCTTTCATCACTGTCACGAGTTAAGGAAGCTCACTATTGACGGCCACAAGCAGATTACTACAGACCTGTTTAGGAAGATGGTTGTTACAATGGAGGTATGATAATATAATTATCGATGAATGTGATTTGTGGGAAGACTAGCATGATATTCATCTTTATTGATAAGACTTTTTAAGCCTATAATGTATGACAAGTTAAGGTTTGTGCTAATGTATAATAACCACTATTACTTCTCCTACAGAATGGGAGAAGAGTACGAAGTGCTCAGTACGCTCCTCGCTTACAGTGAGTTGTATCACAGTAGATCAATTTAAAATACATCTGCATACCAAAATACTTTCTTCAAGATATCAGCTTCCTAAAATAGTACAACTTGATGAAATGCCATATATTAAGTATATTAACATATTACTACAAGTTAACTAATATTATTAAAAATAACACATCACGTGGCTAACAAACCCGTGGCAGGTACATAAGTCTGCAGTATTGTAATGATATAGAGGATGAAGAGTTGTGGGAGATTGTACAACTGTGTCAGGGCAGTTTGACTGTCAAGAACTACTATGGTGATGATATCGAGTACAGTTTGCCTGATGACTGATCATCTGATCCCGAAGATATTTGAATTTGCGATTCCTCCTTCACGTGAATACTCATCATTTTTGGTGTCGTGGAATTTCATGAATTTTTGAATTCCTTTAGATTTTAACAACATTTTGGCTACATTCATAACATTATGTATGTACAGACACTTCTTTTTTAGATATCGTTTAATTTGTAGAATAGTGCATATTTTCAATTGATTTTGATTGGATAATTTGAATGTAGTTTGGTTTATTATGAAGGTTTGTGATACTTGTTATGTACATAAAATTATTTATATATTTTCAACATTCATAAAGGCGTAATTTTGTGAAATAAAATAAAAACAATATAGTCTGCAATATTTAATAAAAATGCTTTCTAGTGTTCTCTTGATTTATCAATTGTTCAGTTATTCTTGAGAAAGTTTTATTCTGATGGTTTAATACTATAATATATTAAATTACATATACATGACATCAAATTATAAGTAACTTCTACCCACAGTTAGCTTGATGCAATGAGACCTAAACCTTGATGAGAGGCTAACCTCTCCCTCTTCCACCGACCTCTCCCTCTTCCACCGACCTGACTCACACATGCTTTATTTTGTGTTTCAAGCTGCTCTGTTATTGTTGTTTCCCATTATTCATTGCTCTGGAAATGAACTAGACTTGGCCAGTTTCTCCACCGTACTTCCAGAACTTCCAACAATTCCAGGGAATGTATCGGGGTATTCAACTGAGGTTAAAAACACTTCAGAAACTTTGGTAACCAAGTCTAGCAATTCAGAAAACGGAGCGAAAATCTTCAACACTCACAAACCAGCGACAATCTTCAACACTCACAAACCAGTCACAAAGACCCGCAGAGTAACGGAATATCCGAGAAATGATGAAGATAGGATTGATCGTACTATTTATGTTAACAACATTGATGAGGCCTTTATTATTCTGAAGCGAGAAATTGAGGTTTATGTTGGAAAAAATGAACTAAATTACTCCTTGATAGTTCTCGAAGAAAGGTTTGAATTCAGGCACCTGATATCCATTTCTGAGCTTAACAAAATGTCCAACCTGCACCACGGCACGATTGGACTGAAGTTTAATCAGAAGTTGTTGTTGCACAACAAGTTTCTCCATCAATTTGAACTTTGGTGGGTACTTAGATCTTGCTCGCATCTTCCTTCAATTTACATCAACAAATGTAGAGTACTTCCTATCGAATCAGACGATATTCTCATCAACATAGCAACAGCAGAGGCGCCCAGAACATTACTTCTCCGAATAAACAACACCACAAAATTCACAAAAATAACAGGAATCTCTCCAAATGATGTGGGTTGTTATTGCAAGGAACACAGCTCGGTTGTAGAGTGCAGCCACTGTCTCGGATCTGCCTCACTAGAATACCTGCTCTTAACCATCAAGTCTTCCTCCACCCTCCAACTCTTCTCAACCTCCTCCACTCCTCCCATCTCAATAAAATTCAAACTTTTAGACATATCTAGAATAATATCCATCAACTGTCTCTCCTCCTCCAAAGATTACATCAGTATCGATCTGAACCACGAGAAAACATCGCTTCTTCTTGAGTTCACACCGCGTGGTATCTCCAACAAAACTGACATCACCCTCCTAAGTTGTTCCACTCCAGACGGGAGGAGTACTAAGAAACTGTGTCAACTCACTGAGAGGAACCTGTCTCTACCTATCCGACCCATGACCAAACTTCTCCCACACGAAAATATCATCATGAATATAAAAACTCCTCGGAGTGCTAGCTACGTTGTAACGTATTATTGGTCGGTTTCTGATAACCGACCTGAAAAAGTCACCCAGGTTATAGAGACGTCAGATAGACGGTACATGGGAAGTGCTTGTTTCAACAGCAGTTTAGTGGGGTGTGAAAGGAAGCACGTGATCGGGAACACGTGGGAGGGAGCACGTGGGAGGGATCACGTGATCGAGGACACGTGGGAGGGAGCACGTGGGCGAGATCATGTGGTCGGGAACACATCTTATAATCGAGATCTTGATAAGAGAGGTTGGTTTTAGTTGTTTGCTTGATACTTTGATAATTTGTTATTTTTTTCAGTTTTGTGAAAATGTCAAATCATGTTTAGACTACTTATACTTTGGATATGAAATAATGTAACAAATACAGGGTGATTAAAAATAATATTGGGATTTTGAGAATTGATTAGAAAAATTATGAAGAAGCAAATTGTATGTCGTTGCCCATGTAGCCATTTCACTTTTTTATCAGCGTGGATTATGGCTGACTTAAAAACTAATCCTAAAATCTTTACATATTGCAGGTGTAGAGGTAGAGCAAATGGTAGTGGTATGTAACTCCACCGACACCCCTATAGTCCTGTGTACCCCTCGTTTGATAGACGGTCCCTCACACATTGGTCACGTGCCGGAACCACGTGCCCAGAACTCTCCGCTCCTACTGGCTCTAATGTATTGTGCTGTGGCGATTCTTTTTGTTTTGCTGGGATGTTTCGGTTACAAAATGAGGAGACTTCATCTGGTATGTTAATGTAGAGATTTGATGGTAGCTGCATTTATTTATCTTGTGTTATTTCAAATTTAGGTCTGGCTGAGTACATATTTCAAATTGAGTCGAAAAATCGTATAATGGAAACTTTAAGAAATGCATATCATTTCACACCAAATACTGAAATGCTAAAACTGGTAACTATCCCAGGATCGACAGTGTGAGTACCACACTTACGCGCAGCCGGATTGTGTGCAACTACCAAGTCTGGACTACACTGGCATTGAAATACGTCACACAGACCACACATATCACTAGTTGTGTTACTGTTGAAAGTTTAATGGATTAATAACAATATTAATAACCAGGAGAATCCTTTAACGGATTAACGAGTCTTAACTTTAATTTTCAATTATAATATTTCACTTTCAGCCATAATGTTTTAGTCTTAAATTTTCAACCATAATTTTCAGCTATCATTTTTCAGCCGTAATTAATTTGATTTATTACAAATTTATGATATTTTCATATACTGTAATTATTATTTTCAAATCATAATTTTTTAGTTATAATTATTAATCATAATTTAATAATTTAAACACTTTTATATTATTTCGTGATTTTTATAACTTTGATAACTTTGATATTTGTTTTTATTTAATTGCTATAGCTAACAGTTAATTTATGATTAATTATTGAATATTTTATTTTATTGTTAATTTATACGTTTTATACGTTATTCTTGTTGCAACCAGAATCTGAAAATTAAACCTGACTTTAAAACTCAAGTTAACCTGTGCCACACATAAATTATACGAAGAGAGCACCCTGAATTAGTCCCCTTAAAATATAACATTTAGATTATAGTTACTGCACATTATTTCGGGTCGTCTGCAGATTTGTTAATTATTGAATGAACAGATTATATTGTTGTAAACTTGATCAGTTGATTTATTAATTCCTTCATTCCGTTGTGTTAATTTTTCCAATACTTCAGTTTGTCAAGTCACGACTTATTTTTCCACGAGAATAGCAAACAGATTAATAGAAACTATTTCAACAAAGTAATAAGTTGTTGCCGATTCTTACACAGCGTCATCAATTTCTAATTCACAGCGTCGTGAGCTTCTAATTCACCTGCTTACAAATGCACAGGAAGATGATTTAAACAATTGGTGTATTTTCAGGATGGAGCATTTTTGACTAAATCTGAAACCTGAATTTGCAACTACCAGGTGACTATTAGAATAATCCATTATGACCTCTACTGTGAAGCTAGAATCTATCAAATACGAGGATTGTGCACACATCTCAACTTGCACCTGCCATTTCAAAAATAAAAAAGAACCTCTAGTTGGTGACTTATGTGTTAATGACGCGTCCAATGGGGCTGAAATCAAGCAGGAAGAAAATGTAGATCATATAAAAGAGGAGCAGGAAATTGTCTATATTAGTATAGATTCTGACTCACCACCATTTAACTCACCATCATCAGACACTCAAGTAAAGAATCAGAATCCATTAGTTCGTTTTCCCATCATATCTGAACATTCACACAACTCTGTAGATGTCCAAATGGAAGTTGAAGTTTCAACGTCTAAACAGATAACCAATAAAAAACCGCTTGGTCAGAAATGGGATAATCTCACCTGCACCATTTGTTCGCGTAACTTCACTAATCTTGGTCTTAGAAAGCACTACAAATTTGAACATGGAGTCATTTTCGGTGTCGAGGAATTTCATGAATTTTTGAATTCCTCAGACACTGAACTAAAGAATCGGAATCCATTAGTTCGTTTTCCCATTATATCTGAACATTCACACCACTTGCACTCTGTAGATGTCCAAATGGGAGTTGAAGTTTCAACGTCTAAACAGATAACCAATAAAAAACCGCTTGGTCAGAAATGGGATAATCTCACCTGCACCATTTGTTCGCGTAACTTCACTAATCTTGGTCTTAGAAAGCACTACAAATTTGAACATGGAGTCATTTTCGGTGTCGAGGAATTTCATGAATGTTTGAATTCCTTTAGATCTTAAGAATATTTTGGCTACATTCATAACATTATGTATGTACAGACACTTCTTTTTTAGATATGGTTTAGTTTGTAAGTAGAATAGTGCATGTTTTCAATTGATTTTGATTGGATAATTTGAATGTAGTTTGGTTTATTATGAAGGTTTGTGATACTTGTTATGTACATAAAATTATATAATATATATTTTCAATATTCATAAAGGCGTAATTTTGTGAACTTAATAAAAACAATATAGTCTGCAATATTTTATAAATATGCTTTAGTGTTTTCTTGATTAATAAATTGTTCAGTTATTCTTTCAGAGTACGTTTTATATTGATGGTTTATAATATATTTTATAACGTATGCATGACATAAAATTATAAGTAACTTCATATTCTTCCCACAGTTAGCTTGACTATTAGAATAATCCATAATGACTTCTACTGTGAAGTTAGAACCTATCAAATACGAGGATTGTACCCACAACTCAACTAGCACCTGCCATTTCAAAAATAAAAAAGAACCTCTAGTTGGTGACTTATGTATTTATGACGCGTCCAATGGGGCTAAAATCAAGCAGGAAGAAAATGTAGATCATATAAAAGAGGAGCAGGAAATTGTCTATATAAGTATAGATTCTGACTCACCACCATCTGACTCACCACCATGTAACTCACCATCATCTGACACTCAAGTAAAGAATCAGAATCCATCAGTTCGTTTTCCCATCATATCTGAACATTCACACAACTCTGTAGATGTCCAAATGGAAGTTGAAGTTTCAACGTCTAAACAGATAAACAATATTGTTGACTATGACGATGATTTGTTACTCTTGATATTGACCCCTGAACAAATCCACGCTCCACTCATTTCACCCTTCATAGAAAATAGCAATGGTTCTAACCACCTACGATCGCCACAACCCTTACAAAAACATGACGTTGTATGCTCAAATACTAGTAATATATTAGATGGTAAGAATAGGAAAATAAGACGTCCTAACAGGAGGGGACCTTGTCCTAAAATACTACCATCTCCTTTATATGACACTGATAGAGAAAACTGTCCACCATTTGATGACCCTTCCGTTTTCAAGCACCATAATCAAAATCAGGTGGTATGTACCGGAGCTCAGGATGAAAATCCAACTAGCAGTTCTAATAACACATCCTCTGATGTAACCGATGGTCTAGCTTTGAACAACAGAACTTACAGCTACTTACCTATCTCAAAGGAAACAATGGATTTGTACCGAGAATCTATTGGTCGTTCTAGATCTGAAAGCGGTGAACAATTTTGTTCGAATGATAGTCAGACGGTTGATGAGGGATGTTCTGTTAAAGATAATGATGACGAAATCTGTAAAAAAGTGGCTAATATTCTGCAGAAGAAACGTAAAATAGCACCAAATCTGAACTCAAAAGAGGTTCGTGATGAAACGAGCAGTCTGACTACAGCACCGAAACTTAAAATAGTACAAAATCTGAACTCCAAAGAGGCTAATGATGAAACAAGCAGTCCGACTATATCACCGAAACCTTTTCCATGTTCTAAATGCAGTCGTCGTTGCGTATCACAGAAGGAGTTAGACCAGCATACGGTGCTACACCGCATCTCAAATGTTAGGAAAACTCTTCCTCCTTCCAAGAAAAAAACAAGCAATCTGACTACAGCACCGAAACCTTTTCCATGTTCTAAATGCAGTCGTCGTTGCGTATCACAGAAGGAGTTAGACCAGCATACGGTGCTGCACCGCATCTCAAATGTTAGGAAAACTCTTCCTCCTTCCAAGAAAAAAACAAGCAATCTGACTACAGCACCGGAACGCAAAATAGAACCAGAACTAAACTCAGACGATGAACGTGATGAAACAAGCAGTCCGACTACAGCACTAAAACTGAACTACGAAAAAGAATATTGTGGTAAAAAACCGCTTGGTCTGAAATGGGAAAATCTCACCTGCACCATTTGTTCACGTAACTTCACTAATCTTGGTCTTAGAACGCACTACAAATTTGAACATGGAGTCCAGTTTCCTTTTCCATGTTCTAAATGCAGTCTTCGTTGTGTATCACAGAAGGAGTTGGACCAGCATACCACACTGCGCCACACTTCAAATGCTAGGAAAACTCTACCTTCTTCCAAGACCAAAGTCCAATCTGCTTCCAAGAACAAAGTCCAATCCTCTTCCAAGAACAAAGTCCAATTAATGTCAAAACAAGTAAAAGCAAGAATTGCTATAAGGAATGTGAAAACTCCATCTGTAAAATGTATTGAATGTGGAGCAAGGCATACTTCAATTGTTGATCTGGACAAGCATATGGAGGACCAACATCCACTGATACCATAATTCTTTTTATGTAATATTGTTTTTCATCATGATAATTGATAACCAGTAACCACAGTATATCTTTTTCTTCTTCAATATTTTAATGAACATTAAGTCGTAAATAGTAATAAAATTTTGATAATTCATGGTCACCGTGCTAGATTTATCAACATTATAATAATATCGAGATTTGACCGACACTAATAATTCATTGTCTGGCAGAATGTCAAAGTTGTTTGCATGGTTGGCAGTTGTATCTGCAGCAACTGCACTGTGGATTTCTGCTGTTTACGGACCTTATGACCCCACGTTCAAGCGCCAGTTCATCTATCCAGTAAGTGACTTTACCTGTAGTTTTTTAATGTTTTAAGATCGGTTAAAATTGTGTTAATTTACCGTCAAATGAGTACAATAAGTGCCGTGGTTTAAGGTTAAGTCGATGTGGGTCAATGCTAAGTTGGACCCTAATTTTAATAACTTAACCATTTCAGTTTCCGTTCGTGGCAGTAATGCTGGTTGCAGTGAGTATCTTTAAATTTGGTTACCAGCCATTTTGGCTGATGTTTCTATGACAAAGCCGGGCACAGCGCGCAATTCTCGTCTTTGTAGGGCGCGATGCAAACCTCCTAATTACTTGAGTTTTTGCTGGCACGTACTGACGCAAAGTGCAATTTACTGGCTCGAAATAACAAAATTTGATAAACAGTAACATTCAAGTAATAACTGAATCGCTTCATTGAGACCAACGGATCGAATTTATTACAAGTAAGACTGCGACAAATGTCACCACTCTTACTTTTCAGTTTGTGTCTCTGGTGACGATACTTGTTCGTGTTTCTAGACTCATCACCAGGATCGACGCTTCAGAGGAACTTCAGAAGGTAGCCGGATATTCTGTCGATTTGGAATCTGCATTTCCGTTATACTCTCTTGTCTTCGGTATTTTAAATATGTGACACTGTTAACTGGATGCCCTTTTCCTTTATATTTTTGACATCGCATTGTATCAGCATTTTTTTCAGGATATCCAGGAAGCAAAAGAGGAATTACAGAAACTTGGTATTGGCGTGAAAGCAGAGTAATTTCTTCATATCAGAAAATGTTATTATTGTTATGCGTCGATTTCTAAGATTAAGTTTTAAAGTTTGTTTTAACCCTAAATTTACTTTTATTTGTTTGACTTGAATTATTTTGCTTTAATGATTTTCGTTTTCATTTTGAGGGTCCATCACTGAGATTTACCATAATTGCCGTCATAGTAGTCATGTTAAATTTGAATTGATCGGTTCTATCAACAATTTCGTCCATTTAAATTAGTCTATTATATCAATGAAAACACAATAAATGGTAAACAAGCGAAATTTCACAAAGACGCTACCATATAATCAACGTAATTTAAACAACAATTCGTTCTAAAATTTTCTAAAATAACGACAATCTCCACTTTATCTAGCATGGTGTGGACTACAGAATCATAACGCCAACTAAGAGGTCTCTGTCATGTTTACCCTGCAAACCTTGCTCTCTCAACTGTTGTAGAACTGGTCGGGGTGAGTGGATTTATAATATTTACTTTTGAGCAGCCTGTAAATAGTCGAATAAAAGTTTTATTTGACTATCACTATTTTAAGAAGGAGATGGTGCTCTTCACGCTCTATTAATAACATCACAAGTCAATAATCCATAATTTACATCAGGTACTGCTCAGATAGAACCGATGAACAAGGTCCTGGTGTGGAGGTGTACCCACTGTACCTACGATAATGAGCCTGCAGTTAAGGTAAATACAGGTTGTTGTTTGTGGGGCGGGGATGGGATTAAGTTTGTTAATACCGGGCGGGTCCGATAAATTTCTAGAAGTCATTAACACAGATGAGAAATGTGGGAACGTAGCCCCTTCCAACATGGTAAAGCTCATTTTTAGCCTACTCTTCAGGCTGTAGAAAAACCTTATTTAAACTCGGGGTATTCAGTAAAGCGTGATCGTTCTTAATGTTTGGCAACAAGGAACTTTTTGATACAATAATCAACGAAAAAAGCCTCGTTTTTATTTCTTCCTATCTTTGGTATCCTAAAATCAGGTAACCAATGTCTCCACACCCTCACAGTGTAATCCTCCCATAAAGGGGACGGCAGGGACAGCTCAATTCCATTTTTAAGAGTGACCGATTGGACTTTGTACAAGCGCATATCTTCCGCTGAGAAGAACTCGTGATAGTGTTTTCCCGTATTACGGTAGTCTGATGATTCTGTGGAGAGTTTCCAGGATGTTATGCTGATATGGCCTCTATTACGAGCAGCTGAACATGACAACATTCTTTTCAGTCGGTTTAAACCTAGAATACGTAACATAAGAGGTAAATTAACCAGTACTCCAAGGAGGGGATGTAGTGCGGGTCCGGCGTTTGTATTCTCAATCAGCCGGAGTACCGAAATGTTTCTTGTAATCAGGAAGCCACACTCTCCGACACGGTTACATTCCGGTAGAACCGTCCGCGAGGAAGAGAATGATGATCTCATAGGAAATCTTTTCAACGGTGAAATATGCGAAACAGGAACCTGAAGAAAATTAAAGTATGATGAGAGGATATCGTTTTCTCGTATTATCTCTAAAATCTTGATAACGTAGTCTTTATTCCGTCCGTCAGACTGTTCCAATACTGATATAATCATGTTGATGTATTGCACTGATACCAACTTCTTTTCTTTATCTTGTGTTGAATCCCTCAGCTGTTTAAAGAATGTATCAACTTCTGTAGTCCGACTTTGTTCATCATCGGGGCTGATAACAATCAACAACAAGTCAACTACCATCATCATATCAAATTTATTGGGACAATGTTCGTTTACGAAATCAATTAGCTGGTACAAGTAGTTTGGGTATTGCATGACGTAATCTCCTGAATAAGAAATAATCACATCCTGATCAGGGCTGGCTTCGTTGTTTGAAGATCCTGCCGATTTCTTGAGAACTAATCTCAGGTCTTCTTTCGTTATTTCTGGTAAATTTGCTATTTTTTCGAAAATTTGACCGTATGGTCGTTGTTGTTTTTGAAGCCCGTGTTTCTGATCAAAGTTAATGTTCTCAAACAAGTAACGCAAATTTTTTGTCATTGCTCTTTGGGTTTCGAGATCTCGGTCTATGATATCAATGAAAATTTTATTGTTAGCTCCAGCTAGCTTCAGAAGGTAATCTAGCTGGACAGTGTTCAAATCACTGATGTTTTCTACGTACCGTAGTATAAAACAACTGTTATCCACCACAGCGAGCTTATTAACCAACAAGTTAATGGGTCTCTTTATGTCCCATTTTCTGGCGATGAAACAACTTTCTTCGAACAAAAACAACTGCAAGGAATATTCTGGAGACGGATTAATTTCTTCAATCTTGATGTAAAGCCAATTTCGGCAGTAGTCAACAAGCCAGCCAACTTTGAACACAACAGCAAGCTTGTGTAATTCTCTGAACATAGCATCCTCGATGTTGTCAAGTGATTCATCACCCAGAGCTGTCAAGAAGAGCAGAACAGCTTCCGGCTGAAAATCCTCTATTTCCAGCTCCGATAGACCCAGATTATTAATGAGCTGACTGAAGACACTGCTTTGTGATGTGAGAGTGTTTACACAGACAGTTCGGGGATCTTGATTTCGTATCTTGATCAACACTGAATTTTCAGAGCTGCTTTCACTCATTTTGTTGAGGCATGACCCATTTCATTTAGTTATTGAAATGGTCATTCTCCATATTTAGACATGCGGATACGACGTGATGCCTGAATCAATTGTGTTATACATTTATATATTAAATTAAGTTCAGGTTTTATGTGATAAGCGAATAACCTATCATGATTTTCTATCGAAAAAATTGTTCTAGATGTAAACCAGTTAATACTGGATTCCTAAATTAAAAACCGCATACCTTATCGGACGTTATTTGACCGGACATTGCGTGAACGGACATAATTTTAACGGACATTAAAATCAACGCTTGAAGGCATTCATTTAATCTTACTATATATATATATATGTGTTTATCCGTACCATTTTACTGACGCAACGGCATCAACTTTAACGCGACTTTCCGCAAAAACCGTGAAAGATGTACAACTGAAACTTTTTTGACTGTGTCAAATGCTTTAATGGCCTCCAAATCAGCATGAAATTTTAGAGCCCAAAATTTGGACCCCAAGTGATGTCAAAAACGGTAAATAGGTAATAATTATTTTAGTCTCTTGAGTCTTGACACCATTTAGGGTTATACGGGTTCCTGCTAGTAATGATAAATGGAGAGCGATTAAATGAAATGCAAAATAACGGTACTGGTCGGAGAAAATTTGATGAAACTTTTGTTTTGAGAGTAAATGCAGCAAGTCTAAGAATTATACATGCCAAAATATTATCAAGATGCATAAGCTAAATATTGTGGGGTAATTTTAAAATGATGCGAAGGAATTTAGTATGATATGTGTGTATATAGATGTATATGATCATTATGTCATAATTATTATGCTGATTAGCTCGGAGTCTATGATGAAACGGAAATTTAATTGCTGCAAGCATTTGAGGAGTCGTCGATTAAGACGGTAGATATAGTGAAATTTTAATTTGTGAACGGTTTTTAGCGGTATAACAAAATACAGGTTTTAGTTAACATTAGAGAACTGTGGAAACAATAAAGTAGAGGAACATATGTGCATAATATTCGAAGCTCTTCGATAATTCATCTGCCTCAAATCACGGTCTTTATTTGAACGGACGTTAAATGAACGATAAGGCCTCCAGCGTCCAATTAATTTCCGGTCAAATGAGGTACATACTTGAAATAGGAGAAAGTAATAAGGTAAAGTAAACATCGAAATTCGAAATGGAGCAAAGAATTGTTCCCGACTAGATATACCCCGAGAGAAGACGAGGTCAAATAATATCGAGTTACACAATACACGATCTAGCTCTGTTAAATGCCAACAATCGCCTCTGTGCAGCTGTGTTTCCTTCACTTTCATTACTCCTCATAATAAATAAAATGACGTCATCAAGCCAATATCCACAACAAACATTGGATTTTGAATCAGCGGATATTTTAAACGAAGTAAAACATGAGAAATGGTTAATGACTTCGTAACGTAAGGTATAAACATATGGTCTTTGAATTTGTGTATACATAATGTATTCTGTCACCACCTCGAAATTTACAATTTACATTCCTAGCATGACACGAGTCATTAAAAAAAGTTGTTAGAGTTATTATATAACAATATGACTAATCATGTAAGTCCAGAATCGCAAGATTATGACTGATTTAATTCACTTACAATGCCACCATATTTTCGATCAAAACCAATACGTATGCCCAATTTTGACTTTTACAAACATTAAAAGATTAAACAGTTACAAATACTAATAAATGCCACAATAAAACACAAATTCTTGTAACTTTGTAATTTTTGTTTCGATCAGAGTCATTGGTACACTTCTTACACGCTTTGTCGACTGACGTCTTCTTATCTTGACCCAATTTGTCGTCTTCTTTCTGCACGTTATTTGATGCCACCAAAATACTTCCCACTGGTGGAAGTTATACTTACCGCTAATGTGTGATGTTGATGAGATCATGACAGCCCAAACAAGCCTAGCTACTGCAGCTTAACTAACCACCAACTCTATGCTTTCTCGTGCTGTAAAACTCTCTGAAATTGATTTGGCGACTTTGTGCAATATCAGGGTACATTGCACTGGCAGTATATTTTAGGACTTGTTTTGATCATCAACAACATTGATTTTCTTTAATTATAACCATGGTGTTACCAGGGTTACCATGGTGTTACCAGAGTTACCAGGGTTACCAGAGTTACCAGGGTTACCAGAGTTACAATTGCATGGTGATGATAGATCTTTACAATCCTAATTTCAGGTATGTGCGGCATGTTCGCGGACTCGTGAGGCAGGTTGCACCAGGGTTACCAGAGTTACCAGGGTTACCAGAGTTACAATTGCTAATTTCAGGTATGTGCGGCATGTTCGCGGACTCGTGAGGCAGGTTGCACTGGTTCGGGGACAGCAGATGCACTGAAAAAACAGCAGAAACGTATTAGGTACCGCAACGCGGAACCAACCTCTGGCTGTGCCACCAGAAGAATGGACTTCAAGAGGTTTTCTAAATTTTTCTGCATGATCTTGGTTTAAAGTTTAGCTCTCTAAATAAGTATGCTTATTTGTCAGTGTATTTGCACTAGCGGTTATCCTGCCAACCAACCTCTCCCAGGTCAGACTCAGAGACATCCCTCTCTTCAGCAGGGAGCAGCAGTCTAGGTAGTCAGACCTCCCTGTCCTGCTCTTCCTCCTGGATCTGTGCCAAGTGTTTCATTGAGAACCCTCTCCAACACAGGGTACTACTTTCTCTTGTCATGGCCTTTTTTGATACTAAACTAACTTGCTTACTATTTAAGGTCATGTTTCGTTTTTGAATTCAATGCAGTTAGAATGTGTTAAATTTAGTGGCTATCAAGATTTCCAGTCTTTCAGTTAATTCTCCAGCCCCTTTTAGTTCTGGATTAAATATACATTACCCGATACCCTTGAACAGGCGTGTATTTCTTGTAGTACGGAGCGTAAACACATCTCCCATTTCCCCCACAACCTTCTCAACAACAGAGACTTTAAACACTTACACAAGGTTCGTCGTTTCATTATTACTAAATATGCTAGTTAAAGATCAAATTTGCAAAATTAACTTGTATTTACCGATGAATTCAAATTATGTTCAATAATTATGAATTATGAAATCATAATTATGTTGTTGAAATCTAGGAAGATGTGTAAATTTGTTGGGAGTGGTGAGTTGAATAACCGCTTAGTTGTACCTCTATTTACTTGTGATCCACCAGGAGGAGTACATAGGTAAGAAGAGTTGTCAACTGAAACCTCTACCACCCCTCTTAACTAACTCTCCCTCTATCTGGGTTTGTGGGGACTGCGCGCAACAGAACAGTGTCGTCCTAGCTCACTGTATCGGCTGTTCTGCTCCCCCTGCTTCTAAAACTCCTACCCAGGTCAGTCAGTCAGTCAGTCGACAGTCAGTCAGTCAGTTAGTCAGTTAGTCGGTCGGTCTAAAGACTACGGGTGGAGGATAAATTTAAAACTTCCGACAGCATTTTTACTTGTTCTCATTGTGCAGATTCCGGGAAGCATTCTCTTTACGCTCTCATCATATTGTAGAATGAGATATCGTTCATTTAAAATTGGGTAATTAATAATTATAGGCCTGTCAAGGATTGCAACCCAATTAAGGGATTTTGACTTCCAGTACCTCAATTTGGTCTCATACAATCATCAATTAACTGACGTATTGGTATCTCCATCCAATCTGTCAAATTTGTGTTCAGAAATTTTCATATTTGAAAATGGGACGATTTCTGCTGTGAGCTTCCTCCGACCGAAATCAAACCTCCAGCACCTCAGTCGTGCCATATGGCATCTATAGTTGACTGACTAATTGGTTGCGGGGGAAAAATTCAGTCAAAACTGTGAAATCTCGGTCCTGGAAATTTCATCTTCAAAAAGTGAAAATAGGACAGAGAATGGGACAATATGATTCTTCAATTTTCCTCCGGATTTTGACTTCCAGTACCTCAATTTGGTTTCATAACATCATCAATTAACTGATTAATTGGTCTCTGGGCAAAATCTCCATCCAATCTGTCAAATTTGTTTTTTTTTTAAATTTCATATTTGAAAATGGGACAGAAATTGGAAAATATGAATTTTCGTTTTATTAAGCTTTCTGCTGTGAGTTTCCTCCGACCAAAATCAAACGTCCAGCACCTCAATCGTGTCATATGCCATCTATAGTTGACTTACTAATTGGTTGCGGCCTGCGGGTGAAAAAATCAGTCAAAACTGTAACATTTCGGTCCTGGAAATTTCATCTTCAAACACTGAAAATGGGACAGAGATTGGGAGAATATGATTTTGCAATTTTATTTGGGATTTTGACTCCAAATACCTCAATTTGGTTTCGTTCAATCATCAATTAACTGACTAATTGGTTTCTGGGCAAAGATTTCATTCAATCTGTCAAATTTGTGTTCAGAAAATTTCATATTTTAAAATGGGACCGACTTTTGAAAATACAACTTTTCGTTTTGTTAAGTTTTCTGCTGTGGGCTTCCTCCGACCGAAATCAAACTTCCAGCACTGCAATCGTGTCATATAGTATTCTCAAAAAACATATTAAAAATATATTGTATAAAATAAGAGAGAAATTAACAAAAGAGGCGCCAGTACCAAGATAAACCCTTTCCGTAATTCAGAGAATTTTCAAGGCCGACACTGTCGCACTACAGTGCGTTACCTGGACTGTAGTGCGACACGAACTAAAGTGCGACAAAACACTTTACACATTCAATAAAAATTTGACTTTCCGTTTTTAAGTTTTAATGACAAGAGTGTAGTCGTGTATGGGGTTTAATATAAAATCAAAGATTACAATCACAATATTCAATTCAAAATCATTGTTCCAACACACTTCACATAATCCATTCTGTCATAATCATCGTAGCTATCAATCACAGCGTTCAAGCGACGGTCGTAATCGGTCCACTTCTTCAGTCGGCGAGGAGGTGGTTGTCTGAGCATCTTCTGGTTGCCGTTGATCTTCCATTGGGTTAGATCCTGCTCCTTCTTCAGGACGTCGATAAATCTCCAGATAGTAGGGTTGGTGCAGCCCATCAAGGACAGGGACAAAAGGAAATCGCGGCATGTACGGAATCGCGATTTTCCCCATTATTTGCGACACATTTTATGTATAGTTTAATATACCGCGAAATGTAATTCGCGGTATCGCGTTTTTTGGCCAAAATCGCCGCGAAATCCTTTTGTCCCTGATCAAGGATCGAAAACCGTTGTGCCAACCCTCAGCAATGTTGGAACTTCTGGGAAGTCCGGCCATGAAAGCATCCCGTTGATTCCAGATCCAGTGGGTGTAGAGGGGGGAGGAGATTTGTGTTCCGACCCAGGTACGTTCGTAGTAGTCAGCAAAGGAATCCATCTCCGAGGCTGTTCGATGCTTTGGTAGAATCATCGTGACCTTATTTATATGGCCCAAGCATATGAACTTGTTATCCCAATCGGAGATATATCTTCATACGATGCGTGTAATAGGAATGAGGATCATATGCTGCTTACGAGTTACCCAGTGGATCACACACTGCATACGTGGCTGACCCGAAGGAATTATGATCAGTAGATCACTTCGAAACACGTGATGTGAACCGACGAATCGTATTCGCAAGATCACTTCGAAATAAGTGACGTGAACCGACCCGACGAATCACTTAATGGTCCATAAGAAGGATAGGATGTGACCTGAACTTGGAAATAAGTCAGGATATTTTGTCGCACTAGAGTACGCTACCTGGATCGTAGTGCGACACGTACTGTACTGCGACAGAGTGTGTTTTTGTCGGACTTCGCACTAGAGTACGTGTCGCACTAGAGTACGTGTCGCACTACAGTACGATTACCATTCAGGTCATGGGTAAATCTATAGTTGACTGACTAATTGGTTGCGGGTGAAAAATTCAGTAAAAACTGTGAAATCTCGGTCCTGGAAATTTCATCTTCAAAAAGTGAAAATGGGACAAGAAAATGGGACAGTATGATTTTTCCATTTTGTCGGGAATTTTGACTTCCAGTACCTCAATTTTGACTTCCAGTACCTCAATTTGGTTTCATATCATCATCAATTAACTGACTAATTGGTCTCTGGGCAAAATCTCCATATTATTAATCAACTATTATATACAGCAAACACAAGATAATAGGAAATAAATCATAAAATCGAGTGGCCGAGTAGTCTCGACTCACCCATAGCTTCTCCATAAACGTCTATCATGAGCTTTGTACACTAAATCGTTGAAATTACTTAAACTAAATCTTTTATTTACAATCACAATAATATTCTTCGTCATAATGTCTTTTAATAATAAATCAAATAAATTTGAACGAGGTCTGCCCCTCCTTCCTTTATAGTCAAAACATCCTAAACATGCAAATCTAAAAGATAAGAAAGCGGGAGTGTCATCACCGCTTCTGAGAACGTGCCCAAGCATCTTCCATCGTGCTTTCTTGATCCTTTCAGTAAGGGGACTGACATTACATCTCTTATATAAGTTCTCGTTACTGATAACCGTAGGCCAATAGGTGTTGATTATCTGTCTCTGAAGATGCTTCCTTTGAAGAACATCGACAGATGCCATTACGGTTTCAGGAGCAGCCCAGCTGCTACAGTTATACAACAACACTGAAGTGACAAGAGCTTCGTACAACTTCAGCTTTCTACTCTCACTGATCTGAACAGAGCTATTCAACCAGACTTTCTTGTAGGTGTAGAAGGCAACATTGGCTTTGTTGCGTCTGTTGACAATATCTCTTTCTGAACAGAGCTTTGATCCTAATAGCACTGACTCTCGCCACTCTTCATTTCCTCTGATTTTATTGCCATGGGCATCTAAAGCATCTGTCTCTGCCAAATACACTCTTGTAAACACCGTCTTTGATTCGTTAACAAAGAGACTCCAGTCCTTTAGTATGTCACTGGCAATCTCCAGTATCTTCACCAGACTCTGACCATCTTCACTCAGAAGCTCAGCATCGTCAGCATAGGCAGACTCTAACGGGAGGCCTCTATCAGAGACTGGGGGGTTCGGTCTAGGAATTGTGACACTGATCACGGCTCTGATGTGATTCAGGGCACCGGCAAGGGTCAATGTAAACACTTTACCTGCCAGACTGTCTCCCTGGTAAGCTCCAATATTAATCACGAATTCACCAGACTCAGCTCTGTTGACTGTCACTTTGAGCTTTGTATTTGAGAGGAGGTACTGAACCAGGCGAATGTCGTCTCTAGAGCATCCTGCATCAATGAGGGGGTTGATGATGGTCTGTCTGCGGATGGTATTAAACGCAGCGGTCATGTCAATGTTGATTTTACTATACTCAAACTGGCGCCTGGTAACCACTGATGTCAACATTCTCTGAGACCAAACCAGGTCAGCACAACTGCGACCCTGCTTGTATGCCGCCTGCCAAGGTCCAGTGTACATATCAACGTGGTAATTGATTCTGTTTAGGGCTACGAGGGATAGGACTTTTCTAGTTCCATTTAGCAATGTGAGGGGCCGGATAGACTTTACCGGACCTCGGGGTTTTCCTGGCTTCTGAAGGGGTGTCAGGATACCTTCTCCAATAGCTGGGATGTATGTGTTGGTCTCAAAGGAGAGATTGTAGATCCTAGCCAACTCACAGTGGAGGGGATATCCAGCAGCTTTCATTAGCTCATTAGGTATACCGTCAGGGCCACACGCTCTACCGGATTTCAGCTTCATAACAGCACGGCCGACTTCTTCAGGTGTTATGGGACAGAGGAGGCTTCCAGGAGGGTCTATGAATGCTGGGAGTTGGGGTTCATCTTTGTCATTGAACTCATTATTAAAGTATTCTTTAATAGCTTCTGCTTTTAATGAGTCAGAACCTAAGGTGTTGCCGTCTGCATCGTGGACAGTCACTCCATCTTTCTTCATCCTGCACTGGGCCAAAGTTCTATTCGCTTCAAACATGCTTCTGCAGCTGTCGGTGTTGTTGATGACATCTACTAGGGCGTTGGCAGTGGCCTCGTTGATAGATTTCAACCTCTTTTTGATGGTACGTTTGAGATGGTTGATTCTTTTTCTGAGGTCACTCCTGTCACTTATCCCTGTGAGGCTACATTCTTGCTGAAGGGACTTTCTCTCTGCTGAAAGTTTAACGACAGTTGGATCGTCGCTGTACTGATGAGGTTTCCCCGGGGGCACTTTACCAACCACCTGGACGGCACATTTACTCAATATACCAAAAATATCAGAATTTTCAGAAATAGCATTATTAGTTAAAACTCTACAATCAATATTACTTTTAAAAGAATCAAAAAATTTAGACTTAATATCAGAATCATTAAGGCGATTGACATCAAACCTTATTTTGTCAGACCTGGGCCGCTTATGTACAATGTATTCACAACCAAGTTTAAAACGTGCAACCACAGGTTTATGGTCAGATTTCACTAAATCACCGCAAAAAGAGCGGGAGTCTGTTAAACAGACTTTAAAGTTAGTACGACATAAAATATGATCAATTTGTTTAAAATAGTTCACAGTGTCTTTTGAACCCTTGGGTCTGCCCTTGGGAACACATCTAGCCTTCCAGGTGGTAATATACTTCGCTCTGTGTTGGAACGCAGTATTGCACGCAAACAGACCATTATCAACAATAAAGTCCAGTAGAAACTCACCGTTCCTGTTTCTCAGACCATTAACGAACTGACCAATATGATTATTAAAGCCAGCATCATACTCTTTCCTACTGCATCTCCCAAGTCGGGCGTTAAAATCTCCAGCAACAAACAAATCGTATCGAGCTGGGATATTGATAGCAGTTTTCAGATCATTGAAATATGATTGTAACAATGGGGAGTTACCTGTGACCTTACTGATGTCATCATCGACAATCTTCTTGGTTGGTCCGTACACGTTAACGATCCTGATCATACGATGAGATCCGTTGGGTTCTGTGAGTCTTATATCAATGAAAGCCACTCTGTTACTAAGTGATCTCCATGCAACAATAGAAGGTACAAGGACTGGGCAGATTAGAAAACCGAGACCATAATGATACCAATTGTCTGATTGGGCTAGTGTTACAAGTTTGTGACCGTTAATAATTGTTTCCTCGAAGTCTCGGCATTTTGTCTCTTGGAGACACACTACATCAAAATGATAACGTTTAGCGTCACTTACTAAATGTTCTCTCCTAAGAATGTTACCTTTAATACCATTGAGGTTCCAACTTGAAATGTTCAGAGTCGAAGACATCGGCATAAGGAGAAGTAAGGTGAGCAAAGGTAGACTTCTAGCGAGCACGTCTGTTACAACTGCCATTCTGCTAGTGGGGGGCGTCACTCCATTCCATCCTGACATCTCCATATAATCTGTCAAATTTGTGTTAAGAAATTTTCATATTTGAAAATGGGACAGAAATTAGAAAATATGAATTTTCGTTTTGTTAAGCTTTCTGCTGTGAGCTTCCTCCGACCGATATCAAACTTCCAGCACCTCAATTGTGTCATATGGCATCTTTAGTTGACTGACTAATTGGTTGCGGGTGAAAAATTCAGTCAAAATCGTGAAATTTCGGTCCTGGAAATTTCATCTTCGAAAACTGAAAATAGGACATAGATTGGGAGAATATGATTTTTTCCCCGATTTTGACCATACCATAATTTCTTAACATTGTGTTATTGTCTTAACATAAATTTTTTAATGGTAAAACGTTACTGTCTATAACACTACTCGGTACAGTACATTATCAGACATGACGTTATAAAACTTTATCACCTGTAACCTGAGAAAATTTCTAGATGAGTTCCGTAATTTTCTGACGTTTTGTTTTATGCTCCGGTGCGATAAGCACGCTTTGTTGTTGACTAGCTTTTTGTTCACAGTGCATTTTTTATTCTGTAATTTTGATTTGCTTTGGTTTTGACCAGTTTTTTGTTTTGTTTCGTTTCGTATTAAATATCGCTGATTGCAGACTTTATTAGCGTATCGCAGTGTATATATTATGTTCTGTCGAAATTAAAATCCTGACAAAACCTCTCTCATTTAAGCAATGAACCTACACACCATTTTAAAGCTGTCATTCCTCCTGCCAATCGTCTACTCCGCAAACGTTTTAGTGATAGGTGGAGTACGAGGATCTCATCTCTTTGTCCCAATCGAGGTAGCGAACAAAATGGTCGGATTCGGACATAATGTAACGGTGGTAACCCCATTTAAAGAGCAGAGAGTTACTTTACAGGAGGGGACATTCCAACTGATCACAATTGAGGATTACGATGGAGATGATAGACAAGGGGAAAAGTTGATGGAAACTTGGCTAAGTTGGTTTGCTCCCGTCCTGCATCATCCATCTGTTGACATGTTTGCCAACATGCACGACAACACTGAGCTAATGAAATATTTTGTCGACCACTGGAACTCGTATCTCTTGGCGTACTTTAATGGAACAGAATTTGCGCAACTGCTCGAAAAGAGCAAGTTTGATTTGATAGTGATGGAAGACTCGATGTCACTTATACCAATGGTACCCCTTATTGACCTCGACATCCCTATTACCTTACAAGACATTTTTGTGGCGGACCAATTTGCGACGACCGAAATTTTGGCGGTCCGAAAATATGGCGAAATTGAACAAAAACCGTCACATTTCGGACGTCACAGAAAATAAGGGTATTTTTCATCATTTTGTTTTCTGACACAAAGGAAATTCAAACTTTTCTAAAAATCGGTAAAATCATGTTGAAACCAAAATGAAACTTATAAATCGATTTCTTCATCTTCCTCTAAGGGGTCCGGCTCGACTCTTTCAGTTTCACTTATTGAGTTTGGTATTAAATTGTTTATCTTGACTTAGTCTCTTATAAGACGTTTATGTTAGCACATAAATGTAATTTATTGTAAATTTAAAACGTATTACTTGACATTAAATTCATCATGGAATATTGTGTTTATTTGTCCCACCATCATATCACTAACTTTTCAAGAACAAAATGAATCGATGAAGCCACAATTATTGGGATAAGCTAAAAATAATGCGACGGATTCTATTACGACGACCGAAATTTTGGCGGTCCGAAAATATGGCGAAATTTCGGGAAAACCGTCGCATTTCGTACGTTATAAAAATGTCTTGTAAGGTATCGGATTGTATTGTGGAATCGATATGAAAGTATCTCGAGACAGGCTTGGGTTACCTAGTCTGATGAACAGCGAGCCGAGCAATTTCAACGATCTCGCGGATGATGATTCTGCACAGACTTTTTTCGAGCGATGGCAGACTTTGAAAAGAATAATGCGGTATTTACGCAATGTTCTGCCGTTTGTTGACGGCGCTGTCGGGAAAGAAGCGGCTAGAACTAATCGTCCGTAACTGACTTCTTCATGTCAGTTTACGATGTTGCATTCGTGTTGGATCATCCGGTGTTCTCGTTCCCCTTCCTTTCCCCACCCAACGTTTTCTATCTCGGACCATTCCATCTAAAAGACCGCTCTCTCAATCCTCTCTCAGACACATTCCAAGAATTCCTGTCCAGCTGTCCCCACAAACACACCGTGTTCCTCTCCTTTGGTTCATACCTACATAACATTACTCTGTTCTCCGGTACACCCACCATCCTGGAAACTCTAAGCAAGATGGACGTGTGCGTCATCCTGAAAAGCGAAGTTGATGTTGTCTCCAAGTACCACCTCTCCACTGAAAAGTTTCTACAGCGAGCCTGGCTACCACAGAAAGACCTGCTGGGAACTGGTAAAGTGGACTTCTTTATCTCCCACTGCGGTAATAACGGTAGATTGGAAAGTATCTACAACAATGTCCCTCTGTTGTGTGTCCCGCTGTTCGCGGAGCAGTATTATAATGCCAGAATGGTTAAAAGAAACAGCTTCGGAGTTCTTTTAACTTGGGAGAATCTAAACGAAAACACATTTAGAGAAGGCATTGTGGAGATGATAAGGGGGAAACCTGTTTATGCGGCCAACATGAAACAAGCCGTGGAGATAGCACGTGATGATCCTGGCGCTGGAACTGATACTCTCAAGTTTTATTCTGATTTGCTTATTAGAAACGGAAAAGCCGATTTTCTTGTTAATCGTATCATTTCGAAACAGTCTTCGAATGACATATACAATATTGATATCTTCCTTGTGGTATTATCAGCTTTTGTATGTATAATTGTCGCAATTTGTGCTTGTGTTTACAAACTGTGTAAATGTTTACGCAAGAAGATGTTTAAAACCAAAACTGATTGAACCAAAATTCTTTTGTGTTGTTTTTTTTTTTGAAGTATTGTTTTACAGCTGTTGTTAATAACTAATTAGTTACGTTAAATTTGCTGGTCAAAAAGTTGATAGATAAAAAAGTTGTATGTACTTATTACGATTTGTTTATTCATCGATGAAACTGTTAAGTACGTAATACGTATTATGTAATATGACTTTTAACGAAAGTATGAAGACCTTGATTTCCTTGTCGCTCAAACGTGATATAGTCTACTAAAAACATGTGCATTATTTAGTACATAATTTTGTACATAATTTAGTACATAATTTAGTACATAGTCTAGTACATTATTTAGTACATTATTTAATACATTATTTAATACATTATTTAGTACATTATTTAGTACATTATTTAGTACATTATTTAGGACATTATTTAGGACATTATTTAGGACATTATTTAGTACATTAATCATATGCTCCCCCTCAGAGAGAAGCAGGTACCAGGTCATATTCACGGAAGAATAAAAACAGATTACCAAACCAACCCTCACCCCAACCCTCACCCTTATCTCAGAATTCTTATCAGGTATTATAAAATAATCCGCCACCTCAAGTTAAATTGATAAAGTTTTTATATGACAGAGTAAATTGACGGATACATTCTTTTTAATGTTAGTACATACTGTGCTAATTATTGTAGTTGCAACTGACTAGAAAGGCTTTAGCAAACAAAGCATTAACATTCTATTTTAGATCTACTCTTACATATTCTGTAATTCAGGCAACAAATTCCAAACCAAAACCGGAAAAGGCCGAAAAGAAACCCGAACTAAACGGCTGCGAGAAGAAGAACATGGTATCTGAAGTTTACAACCATAACAATGTTCCTAATGAAGATGCCACCTCAGATTCGTACCAAGAGATAATCAAGTATTTTAGGTACGGTTATGAGTCATTGACTGGTCACGTGTTTGTGTCACAGGATGATGATCCACAACATATACATATAGATTTATAATCTATGCCGATGGTCAATAATCATGGTTTTGACTGCATTTTGTTCGTTGAAATTTTACGTAAAGCTGGAAAATAACATGGAAATAATAACTCCCTCAGAAAATTGAGAACCAACTTCGTTGACGACAGTTTTAGACCGTGTAACAAGTCAGTATTCGGAGAGGAGGTCACAACATCACGTGACCTGAGTGACCCTAGTAACGGTAGTCATGGTAACGCGGTCACGTGGTTGAGACCCCACGAGATTGATGCGGGTTACCCTGGGATCAAATGGACCGTTTTTAGAACGCCCCTTCCTACTGATATTGTGCAGGGTATGTTTAGAAATATATACCATTACTGTTTATTGTTTTCCATGAAATTGGTGTCAAATAAAACGGAACTGGTACCCAGCAGTTTTTTGTAAAAATGAGGTAAAATAGAAATAAAGTAAAAATAGAAATGAAAATAATCTAAAATAATGATTTAATAACAATTTAATAATAATTTAATGATGCTGCCCCGGTAGGCTCGCTGGGGGACTGTTGGCTGTTGAGCTCACTCTCTGTTCTAGCAGACAGACCTAGCCTGATTGAACAAATATTTCTCAACAAATCTGTGTCTCTTGAAGGTACGACTGTTCTTGCAATCGCCAAGGATCTGTAATCTGTATTATGCATATCTTTATTTGGAATGATAATTTCTTATAACTTGTGAATTATATGACTTATGTGTTGTCGTTCAGAACAGGCAAAAAATAACCACTGGTAAGGTCCTCTCTAGCGTTCCATAGCTACATTTCATATAGATTGTTATCAAAATTAGAATCTGTAGGATTCACTCAATACTTGAAACATGTTCCTTTGTATCTGAATACAGACATCTGAATATCTCAGGGGTGTATGAAGTCCGCCTCTGTAAAGATGGACAGTGGACGAATGTGATAGTTGACGATTACTTCCCCTGCCTTCCCAGTAAGAAGCTCATGTTCGCACAGAGTGACCGGAAGCAGCTGTAAGCATGATTTCAATGCTTTATTGTGCATATCCACATCCACAAAGTTATAAATTTCCTCGCAGATCAGTGTTTCCCCTAGTGAGCTGCTTTTCCAGGTAATCCTCTCGAATAAACTCTCAAATTGTTACAGGTGGGTTCCGATAATAGAGAAGGCAGTTGCAAAGCTATTCGGTGGGTACCACAACCTGAAAGCTGGTCATTGCAGTGAGGGACTACAGTTACTGACCGGAGCCCCAATTGAGTGTCTCAAGATGTCCGACTATGAGGAAGATCTTGAACTTTTCTGGGGTAAGTCTAGCTTTTATTGGATCTTGAGTCATTATTACTTAGTACAGGACTCATAGATGCAAATAACAATTCCAAAAATCGAATTCCGAAGTTAAACTGCATAAAACTATATCAACATCGACTTTAACAATGTATCAAACATGGATTAATAATGTGGTAATAAGGTATTGCATACGATCCTTATTTTGTACCGTACTAATTAGAAAATTGCATCAGAATATAGAGTATTAAATTTGCTAAAACCACGGTCAAGAGCGCATTATATGAACTAACAAACATAGTTTTATTAGCGAGCACTCGCAGCAGGATCAGAACTTTGACAAAATTTAATATCGCTTTTAAAATTCAACATACCGGTGGACCCAAATTGGACTGCTGGGTGGCGCAGGGCCACATACTACTATACATTAAAGCAAAATGCAAACACTACGAAATCAATTTTTAGGAGTTATTAAAATCAAGCAATTATGTATTAATTGACCAGTTCTTAGAATATACATGCGGAAGTCACTTATGGTTTTCGTCCCGTCCTAAACCCCCATTTTCCTTCCAACAGGTATGTTGCTGAGTTACAAAGAGGCCGGTTACCCAATGGGAGTTTGTTGTATGGGGGAGGAGGAACAGGCTGCTAGCCTAGGTTTTTAATTATATTGAACATTTATTTTACTTGACAGTTTCTCCGCTGATTGAAGACCTCCATACTTTTTCCTCGTTTTATTTTTTAACATGATTCAGTCTTATTAATATTTTGTCGCTGATTGGTCTTAAATCAATCTGTTGTTAGTTTAATGAGATGAAAATATTCTCATTTCCTTCTGTCAAGGTTTGACAACTCGTCACGCGTATTCCCTGCTAAATCTCCACGGGATAGAACACCTGAGATTGGTGCAGCTGAGGAACCCTTGGGCTAAGGATACCTGGACTGGCCCGTACAACAACAAGTGCACTAATTGGACTCAGGAACTCCGGACAGAACTTATGGTTAGTATTAATTATTGTTATTATTTTCAAATTTAGGTCCATACTTGTCAGCTTATCAATTTTTAGTCTCTTCTTGTAAATTTAGAGTCATCTCCGAACATCACACATGATTAATTACCTTAATTACCAATCCAATCTTGTTCAGGTATTTGAAGATTCAAGTGAAGCAGTGTTCTGGATGGAGCTGACAGATTTTGTCCGGTACTTCACGACACTTGACGTGTGTCACCTCCACCAGGGCTGGCAGGAGTGGAGGAGTACCGGGACTCTTTCTATCACCTCTCCGGTCGTGACCTACATCTCCGTCTGCGAGACATCCTGTCTTGATATATCTCTGATCCAGACCTCCCGGCGGGGCTCCAGCTTAACGAGTCTAGTAGACCTGAGTGTGGTAGTGTTGAGATGTGGCGAGGACAACACGCCCCAGTCTGTGGTGGAGTACTCCGGGAGAAGTCTCCTCAGTAACGTCACCTGCTCCACCCTCGTCTCACCTGGCACCTACATGGTCCTCCCCCTCTCCTTTCTCTCCCCAGAGTTGGACACTAAGTACACGCTGGTGTGCCTGGCTGATAAGAACTGGTGTGTGTGGCAGGGGCCGGGGTCCGCTGACTTGGTGGCTGATGTGCTCTACAAAGTGACCCTCTCAAAGGGTGAGCACCGGGACGCTCTCCAGGGATGTTCAGTCTACCAGCTGAACAAGAAGGTAGCAGGTTTGGTGATGGCGGTTGAGAACCGCAACCCACACCGCTACTTCCATATCTCGTGTGACAATCACAACACGAGCAACGTGGTCAGCACACGTGGTCAGATCACCACGTCCGACTGGATACCTCCTCTCTCCCGCATGATCATCATGATCCTCACCCAGCTGGACGAAACGTGCGGGTTCAAGATACAAAGCTCCTACAAGTTTAGTTTACTTCAGGAGGGACCGGTGGATGAGGCAGAACATGCGCCTCCGCTTGAAGGCACACTGCACAAAGTTTACCCGCTATGATGAAGGTATTGAATCTATGGAATAGTACTTCTACTTGTACTTGAAAAGGTCTCCTCCTAGTCGTTGGAGTGGCCTGCACCACATAGTAACTCCTTTCTCCGGTGTATTAGACCTCTCCAGTGAACCCTGTCTGTAGCTTGTTGTTCTGCATCTTCTATCGTGATGTTATCGACACCTGTGAAGATTGCTGCATCCTCCCGGACACATGACAACCAGTTTTTCCTAGGTCTACCTCTCGACCTTTTACCATGCTTTGGGATCCAGTGCAGAAGATAGTTTGGTATTCTTTCTTCTGGCATCCTCACCACATGGCCAAACCATCGGAGTCTAGCTGCTCGTACGAAAGTATCAGCAGGGGCGATGTTAGCCCGCTTAAGTACATCAGCATTAGATACATGATAAAACCATTTTATTTTCAGGATTCTCCTCAGACATCTATGATGGAACACCTCAAATCTTTTCATCTGCGTCTGTGTGGTATTCCATACCTCACTTCCATAAAGCAGTATAGTGAGAACAGCCGCTTTGTAAATCCTGATTTTAGTTGGAGTCTTGATGTTGCGACTGTACCATATACTGCTGAGCTGATAGAATGCCCCAGAGGCCTTTTGAATTCGAGCTGACAGTTCTTTGGAATAGTACATAGCGATAATACTTATTATATTAGTGGTAGTCAGAACAATACAAATTAACGATCTTTAGATTGAGTCCTTAAGAAAATTTCTCTCATACTAAATATTGTTTCAACTTTCTACCATTGATATTTTCTATTTATAGTCACTTTCCAGTTCCACGGCAAAGTGGTCACCAATCGGTTAGAATCTGACAACCACTTGTTGCATCGTTAAATTGAATTAGATGGAAATGGAATGAGCTGTCGATTGTAAGACTTTTATTTAAAATTTAATTGAACTGTGAATTGTAGTCTTAAATTCTTGTGAAATTTAAATAGTTATAGTTGTATAAACCAGTTTAATATGTTAATTGTATGTACATCATTTATCTAGGATATTTGTATACAGTTTCTTCTCATAATTTTTTATGTCGAGCGGAACTTGAATTTAAATTAGGTCGGATGTACTGAGTGTTTTGTATATAATTATATTATATATTATAGACGAACCAGTTGATATTCTTTCTATGCAGAAATTATGAATAATTTACCATAAATTTATTATAATGTTGAGTTAGCTATTTATCGAATGTCATTATATTTTCATCATTGATGGACGGTCATGTATTACTATTATAATTGTTTTATTTTGTTTGTCAAAACTGACTGAACAACATGAGTGTTTTCAGTGAGCAGGATCAGCCAGAGTTACTTTTAAATAATTAAAAATAGCGCGTTCCATCCAGATGAATTATCTGGTACAGGGTGACTGAAACTTGTCATACGTTGTATGACCCGCCGCGCACGAAGTGCGCGGCTCCCCCTGTATCGTCAGGACGATAGTGTATCGACCGTAAGGGTCGCAACGTAATACAAACTGAAACCTGTTCACTAGGCCTAGCCTCTAGCTATTATTATTAAATCTTTTTTGAAAGTATCATATTCGAAAATGGGACAAAAAAAGGGAAAAAAGAATTTCCGGTTTGTAAATCTTTCTGAAGTATGTTTCCTCCGCGAGCGTGCTAAATCACTTTAATTGACGATGTCAATTCATGGCAGCTCGGCGCGGCACAGTAGCGCATCTCGCCGATCTCGCTGTGAGAAGCCCCATTGAGTGCGCGGCGCGGCACAGTAACGCATCGCGCTACAATAAATCACTAGCTACACTCGAATTTCCAGATTGGGATCGACTGACATTGTATTGATAAGTCTGGAGGTGAGATTCACAAGTTTTAATCCGACAATTCAGTGCTACTTCAGCTTAACGGGTGATACTCGTAAAATATCTCTTTCATATATTGGACCGTCGACGAGTCCAACTCCAACTCGGCGCGCGTCCTGGTACGTAGGTTGTAAACCTACAATACTTCAGCTAGTGAGTACATGAGTTATGTTCAACTTCAATTTAAGGATAAGACTGGATCTGGACAAGTTATTTTAGTCCCTCTCAAATAATTTTCAACGGCATTTTGACAAGCTGAACATATTGCACCCTTTGAACATCCTCGATATGATTAACTTGAATTTCAAAAATGGCGAGCTGAAAGTCAGATTCACAAGTTTTAATTAAACAATTCAGTGCTACTTCAGCTTGACGGATGTTACTCGTCTAAATTTCTTCGAAGTAGCGCAGCGCGCGCCGCTTTCTTCTCGAAATGGCCTTAACGGGTGCAATACTCGTAAAATATCTGTTCCATATTGCATATATTCAATATTGGACCGTCGACGAGTCCAACTCGGCGCGCGTCCTGGTAGGTTGTAAACCTACAAGAAACGGCCCGATGACAAGTGCTACGAAGTAGCGCGTGCCGGGCCAGATCATTAACAATGGTCAATACTTCAGCTAGTGCAGAGTTATGTTCAATTTAATTTTAAGGATAAGACTGGATCTGGACAAGTCATTTTAGGGCCTATCAAATAATTTCCAACGGTATTTTGACGAGCTGAACATCCTGCATCCTTTGAAGATCCTCGATTTTATCTAATCTGTCAAATTTGTGTTCAGAAAATTTCATATTGGAAAATGGGACAGACTTTTAAAAATACAACTTTTCGATTTGTTAAGCTTTCTGCTGTGGGCTTCCTCCGACCGAAATCAAACTTCCAGCACCTCAATCGTGTCATATGCCATCTAATTCTATATTTGACTTACTAATTGGTTGCGGGTGAAAAAATCAGTCAAAACTCAAAACTGTAAAATTTCGGTCCTGGAAATTTCATCTTCAAAAACTGAAAATGGGACAGAGATTGGTAAAATATGATTTTGCATTTTTTTTCGGGATTTTGACTCCAAATACCTCAATTTGGTTTCATACCATCATCAATTAACTGACTAATTGGTTTCTGGGTAAAGATTTCATCCAATCTGTCAAATTTGTGTTCAGAAAATTTCATATTTGAAAATGGGACAGACTTTTAAAAGTACAACTTTTTGATTTGTTAAGCTTTCTGCTGTGGGCTTCCTCCGACCGAAATCAAACTTTGAGCACCTCAATCGTGTCATATGTTGTATCACGTGGTGCCCCCCACGGTCGCTTAACTATAGTGTAGCGTCTTCGACGCTACAGGGGGAGCCGCGCACTTCGTGCGCGGCGGGTCATACAACGTATGACAAGTCATATGCCATTTATAGTTGACTTACTAATTGGTTGCGGGTGAAAAAATCAGTCAAAACTGTAAAATTTCGGTCCTGGAAATTTTATCTTCAAAAACTGAAAATGGGACAGAGATTGGGAGAATATGATTTTGCAATTTTTTTCGGGATTTCGACTCCAAATACCTCAATTTGGTTTCATACCATCATCAATTAACTGACTAATTGGTTTCTGGGTAAAGATTTCAGCCAATCTGTCAAATTTGTGTTCAGAAAATTTCATATTTGAAAATGGGACAGACTTTTAAAAATACAACTTTTTGATTTGTTAAGCTTTCTGCTGTGGGCTTCCTCCGACCGAAATCAAACTTCCAGCACCTCAATCGTGTCATATGCCATTTATAGTTGGCTTACTAATTGGTTGCGGGTGAAAAAATCAGTCAAAACTGTAAAATTTCGGTCCTGGAAATTTCATCTTCAAAAACTGAAAATGGGACAGAGATTGGGAGAATATGATTTTGCAATTTTTTTAGGGATTTTGACTCCAAATACCTCAATTTGGTTTCATACCATCATCAATTAACTGACTAATTGGTGTCTGGGCAAAGATTTCATCCAATCTGTCAAATTTGTGTTCAGAAAATGTATATTTGAAAATGGGACAGACTTTTAAAAATACAACTTTTTGATTTGTTAAGCTTTCTGCTGTGGGCTTCCTCCGACCGAAATCAAACTTCCAGCACCTCAATCGTGTCATATGCCATCTATAGTTGACTTACCTACTAATTGGTTGCGGGTGAAAAAATCAGTCAAAACTGTAAAATTTCGGTCCTGGAAATTTCATCTTCAAAAACTGAAAATGGGACAGAGATTGGGAGAATATGATTTTGCATTTTTATTTCGAGATTTCGACTCCAAATACCTCAATTTGGTTTCATACCATCATCAATTAACTGACTAATTGGTTTCTGGGTAAAGATTTCATCCAATCTGTCAAATTTGTGTTCAGAAAATTTCATATTTGAAAATGGGACAGACTTTTAAAAATACAACTTTTTGATTTGTTAAGCTTTCTGCTGTGGGCTTCCTCCGACCAAAATCAAACTTCCAGCACCTCAATCGTGTCATATGCCATTTATAGTTGACTTACTAATTGGTTGCGGGTGAAAAAATCAGTCAAAACTGTAAAATTTCGGTCCTGGAAATTTTATCTTCAAAAACTGAAAATGGGACAGAGATTGGGAGAATATGATTTTGCAATTTTTTTCGGGATTTCGACTCCAAATACCTCAATTTGGTTTCATACCATCATCAATTAACTGACTAATTGGTTTCTGGGTAAAGATTTCATCCAATCTGTCAAATTTGTGTTCAGAAAATTTCATATTTGAAAATGGGACAGACTTTTGAAAATACAACTTTTTGATTTGTTAAGCTTTCTGCTGTGGGCTTCCTCCGACCGAAATCAAACTTCCAGCACCTCAATCGTGTCATATTATAGTTGACTAACTAATTGGTTGCGGGCGAAAAAATCAGTCAAAACTGTAAAATTTCGGTCCTGGAAATTTTATCTTCAAAAACTGAAAATGGGACAGAGATTGGGAGAATATGATTTTGCAATTTTTTTCGGGATTTCGACTCCAAATACCTCAATTTGGTTTCATACCATCATCAATTAACTGACTAATTGGTTTCTGGGTAAAGATTTCATCCAATCTGTCAAATTTGTGTTCAGAAAATTTCATATTTGAAAATGGGACAGACTTTTAAAAATACAACTTTTTGATTTGTTAAGCTTTCTGCTGTGGGCTTCCTCCGACCGAAATCAAACTTCCAGCACCTCAATCGTGTCATATGCCATCTATAGTTGACTTACCTACTAATTGGTTGCGGGTGAAAAAATCAGTCAAAACTGTAAAATTTCGGTCCTGGAAATTTCATCTTCAAAAACTGAAAATGGGACAGAGATTGGGAGAATATGATTTTGCATTTTTATTTCGAGATTTCGACTCCAAATACCTCAATTTGGTTTCATACCATCATCAATTAACTGACTAATTGGTTTCTGGGTAAAGATTTCATCCAATCTGTCAAATTTGTGTTCAGAAAATTTCATATTTGAAAATGGGACAGACTTTTAAAAATACAACTTTTTGATTTGTTAAGCTTTCTGCTGTGGGCTTCCTCCGACCAAAATCAAACTTCCAGCACCTCAATCGTGTCATATGCCGTTTATAGTTGACTTACTAATTGGTTTCGGGTGAAATAATCAGTCAAAACTGTAAAATTTCGGTCCTGGAAATTTTATCTTCAAAAACTGAAAATGGGACAGAGATTGGGAGAATATGATTTTGCAATTTTTTTAGGGATTTTGACTCCAAATACCTCAATTTGGTTTCATACCATCATCAATTAACTGACTAATTGGTTTCTGGGCAAAGATTTCATCCAATCTGTCAAATTTGTGTTCAGAAAATTTCATATTTGAAAATGGGACAGACTTTTAAAAATACAACTTTTTGATTTGTTAAGCTTTCTGCCGTGGGCTTCCTCCTACCGAAATCAAACTTCCAGCACCTCAATCGTGTCATATGCCATCTATAGTTGACTTACTTATTGGTTGCGGGTGAAAAAATCAGTCAAAACTGTAAAATTTCGGTCCTGGAAATTTCATCTTCAAAAACTGAAAATGGGACAGAGATTGGGAGAATATGATTTTGCATTTTTATTTCGAGATTTCGACTCCAAATACCTCAATTTGGTTTCATACCATCATCAATTAACTGACTAATTGGTTTCTGGGTAAAGATTTCATCCAATCTGTCAAATTTGTGTTCAGAAAATTTCATATTTGAAAATGGGACAGACTTTTAAAAATACAACTTTTTGATTTGTTAAGCTTTCTGCCTGGGCTTCCTCCGACCAAAATCAAACTTCCAGCACCTCAATCGTGTCATATGCCATTTATAGTTGGCTTACTAATTGGTTGCGGGTGAAAAAATCAGTCAAAACTGTAAAATTTCGGTCCTGGAAA